TGGCAATTTTGTACATAGGGATTGCCTTCTGCACTGCAGCCTTTACCAGAGGGAAATTTTGTTTCCTGCAATGAACAATTGTTCGGGGCTCCAGCAACTGGTACAAACCCTGGAGAACCAGTCCATCCAGCAGCGCTTGGTACCTGGTTGTGTCTTTTACCACCTTGCTGAGTCTCTGTTTTGCTTCATTTAGTAGGTCTGTGATAAGGTCATCTCTCGCTCTGAGGACTTTGAGTCTCGCTTAATTCATCAAATCGGACATCTGAATTTTCTTCTGCTGCTCAATCTGTTTCTCTTTCTTCTCATAATATTCCATAATCTTTAGTCTTTGGGTTTGCACAAGCCAACCTTTCTCTATGTTGAACTCTTCTTCTGCCTTTGCATCTATTTCTTCTGCTTTCTCATTGGCTTCTTGTTCAATGAAAGCCATCATATGCTTTATCTGCTTTTGCACGTCAGCATCGCTGAGAGTCATGGCGAGAGCAATGCTAGGTCGGTGAGCAGCAGGCTCGAGTTTACGTTTAAAGGGTGAGGGGAGATGAATGGGCAAAGGGAAGCCCTGTGCAGATCTCGGTTTCCTTTCTCAGATACTTTTAATATATTGATGAATTTCAGATTTATATTTTCATTTCATGCCTCTCTTCTGAGCTCAGACATCTCTAACTTAGCTATGTCCAAAATGGAACTTTCGATCTTTCATTCTGATTTTGACACTGCTCCAGTCTTTCCTAACTAGGGATAGGTGCCTTGGCATACCAGACACTTCGAGTCATTACATTTTTAAAAAAAAATTTTTTTAAATTCTTTTTTTTCTTTAAACCATTTTTTCTTTTCTTTTCTTTTTTTTTTTTTTTTGTTAGGTAGGGTCTTGCTGTCTTTCCCAGACTGGTCTCAAACTCCTGGGCACAAGGGATCCTCCTGCCTCAGCCTCCTGAGTAGCTAGGACTACAGGCACACACCACTGCACCCAGCTCTTGGAGTCATCTTTGATACTTCATCTCCCTTTACCCCTACATTTTATTAATTATCAAGTCATGTCTGTTTCTTCTCTAAAACCTATCCTAAATCTTACCTCTGATCACCTCTGTAGCTATTGTCTTAGCCTAAGTTACTACCATCTCTATCTTAGATTTCTACAAGTTATCCTAACTGGTTTCCCCTGCTTTCACCATTGCCCCCAACCCCACAGTCGATTTCCCATAGCCCACTCTTCTCTTTTGAAATTGTATATCAGATTGCTTCATTCCCCTGATGAAAATTAATTAATTAATTCTACAAATTAGTATAGAGATCTACAGTGCTCCAGGCACTGTTCCAGGTATTGAGGGATACATTAGTGATGGGGATACATCAATGTTTTGAAACTAAGTATTCAAAAATCCCTGCTGTCATAGAGTTTACAAAACAGCAAACAGTGCCATGAAGGAAAATTAACAATGAAAGGGGTTGGGGAGAGCTGGGGTGGGTGTGCAATTTGAAGCAGGGTGATTATGGGATGTCTCATTAAGAAGACTATATTTGGGTGGCCAGGTGCGGTAGCTCACACCTGTAATCCCAGCACTTTGAGAGGCTGAGGCCGGTGGATCACAAGGTCAGGAGTTCAAGACCAGCCTGGCCAAGATGGTGAAGCCCCGTCTCTACTAAAAATACAAAAAATTACCCGGGTGTGGTGGTGGGTGCTTGTAATCCCAGCTACTTGGGAGCTTGAGGCAGAGGACTTCTTGAACCCAGGAGGCGGAGGTTGCAGTGAGCCGAGATCATGCCACTGTACTCCAGTCTAGGTGACAGAGTGAGACTCCATCTAAAAAAAAGGAAAAGAAGACTATATTTGGGCAAAGATTTGAAGGAGATGAGAAAGTAAGCTTTGTGGATATCTGAGAGAAAATATTCCAGACAGAAGGAACAACATGTGCAAGGTGTTGTGGTGGGAGCACATCTGGGCAGTGCTGAGGAAGAGCAAGGAAATGACAGTGGCCGGAGTGGAGTGGGGAATGGAAGGAGTAGTAAGAACTGAAGTCAGGCAGTCAACGAGAGACTGAAGTCAGGCAGTCAATGAGAAGGCCATTGCTGGGACTGATCTGAAGGCCTTGAGCAGAGAGGTGGCCCTGCCTACCGCACCAACCCCAGCTCCTCTGGTTCCTGCCCTGGTACACGGAATGCATGCTTATTGCTGTTTGAACACACTCAAATATTTCCCTTTTATGGCCTTCACACTTGCTCTTCCCTCTCCCTGGAATTCTCTTCCTCCCAGATCTTTATCCCATGCCTCACCCCTTCACATTATTTATGCTTCTGCTCAATGGATCTTTTCTGACCACAGATTTGAAAATAGCACCCTACCTCCCTTCTGTGTTGATTAGGGTCCTACTAGGAAAACAGGAACTACACTGTGCATTTTCATAAGATAAAGTTTAATACAAAGAACTGGCTACATGGGTGATTGAAAAGGCAGAGACTCCAACCAGGAGAGTGAGGCGACCCAGAGACTAGTAACCAAGACAAGTTGCGACCACCCCTAGGTTGGAGGGACAGAGAAGAGATTTTATTCCAGGAACAAGGTCACTGTGTAGAAGTGACCTATTCAGCAATGGAGGCTTAAATGAGATGCAGTCACAGTGGAGGCAGAGGACAAGGTGGTGAAAAATCCTGGCAGGCTGCTTGATTCTGACTGCCAATCTCCTACCAGTTGCTCTGAATGGTTAAAGTCCACCAGCTAACAGGAGCCTGGGAAATGCAGCCTGCAGAGATCAGCTCCCCAACAATTCAGAGCCAAGCAGGACGAGCTCTGGAAGCAGACCTGAGGAGCAGGACCTCACCCTGTCCTTACCCAGTTTTATTTTTCTTTAGGTCACTTATCCCTACTCCTATTCCATTCTATTTTGTTCTACTCTAATATGCTCTGTTTAGTTCTTTTCTGTTCTAGTGTTTCTATTCTACTCTCTTCTATTCTATTTTACTGTTTCTATTCATTTGTTCTCTTCTCTTCTATTTTTTACTTGTTTGCTGTCTGTCTCTTCCACTAGGAATGAACTGCACAAAAGTAGAGACTGTTCACCAGTGTAACCCAAGTAGCTAGAACAGTGGTTGGAATATTACAGGTGCCAAATAATTATTTGTTGAGTGAATTAATGAATAAATTTGCTTGCTGTTAAGATTCAAGAGGGCAGGAAATATATATACTGTGTTCATTATGATACACCCAGTGTCTACCACAGTACCTGGTCGGCATGTGTATTAGTTTCCTAGAGCTGTTGTAAAAAATTACCACAAACTTCGTGGCATAAGGCAACATAAATTTATTCTCGTAGTTCTGGAGATCAGAGGTTTGAAATTAAGATGTCAGCAGGGCCACACTCCCTCTGAAGGCTTCAAGGGAGAATCTGCTCTTTCTGCTTCTGATAGTTCCAGGTATTCCTTGGCTTATGGCTGCATCACTGCAATCTCTGCCTCTGTCTTCAGTGGCCTTCTCTTGCGTGTGTTTCTTATAAGGACATTTGCCTTTGGATTTAAGGCCCATCAGATAATCAAGGACCCTGAGATCCTTAACTTGATTACATCTTCAAAATTCTGTTTTCCAAATAAGGTCACATTCACGGGTTCTGGGACGTGGGCATAACTTTTGGGGCGGGAGAAGCAACTATTTAACCTGCTACAGAACTTAAGAAATGCTTGCTGGCTGACTGGCTAGACTGACTAGTTTCCCTGGGTCTACTTTTGCCCCTGCCCAATCCATCTTCCACAATGCCACTAACCTGACCTTTCTAATTAGAAAAAGGCTTCTTTTCTTTTTCGTTTTCTTCTTTTTTTTAAATCATAACTTCCTACTTGGAAGTTTGAAAAAACTTCTGTGTTTTTCCATCCTAGGGGGAAAAAATTCATACTTCTTAGCTCAGCTACAAGATCTTCCATCTGTTGTTCTCTGCGTCCCTATTCAAGTCTCTCTTCTCCCACTCTCCCCACTTTTCACTTTGTGCTCCAACCACATGGGTGACCAGGGTCCTCTGTACGTTTGTGAAGTATATGCAGTTTCTTCTTTCTCAAATAATTTCCTATCCTTTGACTGTTTGGCAAACGCCTATTCATCCTTCAAGTCTCAACCAAAATGTCTCTTCTATGCTGCCATCCCTGCACACTGACCCCACACCCCTATCTAGAATCCTAATATGTAGATGCTCATTTGATATTTGTTTGAATAAGTAAATGAGCCCAAATGGGATGGGGGCTGAGAAGGGTAGGACCTGGATTGGGCTCGGGTCTGGAAGAAAAGGAAAATGGGAAAAGTCACACCTGGTATCTGGGACAGGTGCCAGTGACTGGTGGGATGCTGGGACTGGAAGCATTTGGCCTTTGAGTAATATGGCCTGAGATAGATGTGATGGGAGGCCTGCCTATGGGAGGTGGCGAGATGGCACAGGGGTGTGTGGTCTGGTGTTAGAGGACCAGCAGATGCAAGGCACAGGTGGGCTGTCATGCTATAGAATCTAGTCTTCTCGGGCCACAGTTCCCGGGATGGGATTAATTAACTCAACAGACCACCTTTGTTATGAGACCTGGGCACAGCTGTGGCCATGTCTGAAGGGGGACCCAGGAGCACAGGCAAAACAAAATGCAAAGCCCCGATGACCAGAGGCCTCTCTGGAGACCAGTGGGAGGGGGACGATAAACGGAGGAAACAGATGGGACCTATCCAGCTCTTGGGGATCAAAGAGCCCCCACAAACACCACTCCTTATGTCCACTGAGTAATGGTCTTTAGTTACCTAGGCACAGAGGGTCCTAAAGGAGAGGACTGTAGATCACTGAAGGGACTTGGTCGTGGGCGTCTGAGAGAGGCTCTGGTCTTTGGGAGTCAAGAGCTGTAGGTCCCGGTCATTGAATGACCTGATTGTGAAGCCAAGCCTAAGTGAGCTTGAATGAGGGGTTCTGGTCACTACAGAGCCTTAGAGAGAGGCCCTGGTCACTGTGCGCATGACCTAGGGGCCCTGGTCACTCGGGGGTGGGACTGGGGGCTACATGAGGGGCCCTGATTCCTGAGGAGACTGATCTAGAGGCTGTGGTCACTAAAGGACTTGAGCGGGGGGCTCTGGTGACTGAAGCCTGAATGAGGGGCTCTGGTCAGTGGGGGCTTAAGGGAAAGGCCACTTCTGTTATTTCTGAACTGAGGTGGGGAGGGCTTCTCAGTGCTCCCTGTCAGCCCAGCATTCTCCTGTGCCCTCCCAACCTGACCAGCATGGCTCGCAATAGCCAGAAGATGGCACTGTGGCCTCGCATGATGAGAAGTGGGCAGGCTGCAGGCAGTCCTTGGGGTGAATAAGCTCAGCAGAGACAAGCTCAGGTGCTGCCTCCAGCAGCTTTGGGAGCTGCAAGAATTTGGGAGGGGGTGTGGTAAGACAGACCTTGATCAAACTCTCTGGGGTGATGGCCCAAAGCAGACCCGCTGGAAGCAGAGAATGCTGTGCCATGGGTTAGAAGGCCTCAGTGTCTTCCATACCTCAGAAGGCAGGACGGGCTTGGTCAATAGCTCCAGAGCTCAGAACAAACTTTAATGCAAATGTGGCCCAACATACCCAGATACACTTTCACTCCAGGATGAATGCAGCTGTCCCTGTCACACCACAGATCCAAGACAAATTAAGATGTACCCTGAACATTAAGCTGTCATTTCCCGGCACTCTCAGTATTCCAGAAGGAATTAAGAGTCTGCACTCTGGCACAGTCAGAACTTGTCATAGCCCAGAACTCAATACCTCACTCATAGGGTGTGGCCACATTCCAGAACCATGTCACAGTCCAGGGCCTTGTCATACCCCAGATATAGACACAGAGTGGGGCTCTGGCATCCCTCAAATAATGGCACGTCCCAGGAACCTCCATGTACAGAACAACCCAGGGCCTGTCCTGTCAATCTTTATATGCTGGCACTTCCCAGGGGCTTGTGACAGCCCCTGCTTGGCCCTGAGCTGTGATAGCATCTGGTATGTGACAGCTTGGATGTGACAGGGCCCTGGGATATGGCAGTATTGAGTATACAACAGAGTCCTGAAATGTCCCTGTATTGAGGGTTGACAGGGCCGTGGGCTGTGACTTTATCCACAGTGTGCAGTAACTGATTCCAAAACTCACACCTGTGGGTCTGGCCGTCATCAACAAGTATTAGTGATCAGAATTCAAAGCAATTATGGTGACAAGCCCCGTGGGGGATACAGAGTGTACAAAGCAGTGATTCTCAAACTATCCATAGTGACAAGACCAATTTTATTCTAAAAATTTGCATTTCAAATCCATTGCAGATTGACATTTTTGTAAAATGCAATTAAATTGCTAGAAAAACAAAATTTGGCCAGCGTGGTGGCTCATGCCTGTAATCCCAGCACTTTGGGAGGCCGAGGCAGGCGGATAACCTGAGGTCAGGAGTTTGAGACCAGCCTGGCCAACATGATGAAACCCCATCTCTACTAAAAATACAAAAATTAGCCAGGTGTGGTGGTGGGCGCCTGTAATCCCAGCTACTCAGGAGGTTGAGGCAGGAGAATCGCTTGAACCCGGGAGGCGGAGGTTGCAGTGAGCCGAGATCGCACCATTGCACTCCAGTTTGGGGGACAAGAGGGAGACTTTGTCTCAAAAAGAAAAAAAAATAAAAGAAAAAAAATTTAAAAAGACACAAAATATGAACCCAGTTTGTAAAAATAAACTTTTTATTTTGCAATAATTTTAGATTTGCAGAAAAGTTGCAGAGAGTGGACAGTTACTGTGTGCCCTTCATTCAATTTCCCCTAATGTTACTATCTTAGATAACTGTGGTACATTTATCAAAACTAATACATTAGCAATGGCATGGTACTATTCACTAAACTACAGACTCTCTTCAGATTTCAGCAGTTTTTCCACTAATGTCCTTTTTCGGTTTCAGAATCTAATTCAGGATACCATATGGCATTAGGTGTACTTTTTGTTATTAGATTAAATGATAAATATTATTCTGTCAAATTGCTATAAACATTTCAAATGCTTACTCTCCATTTCTGAACTTAATTTCTCATGGGAACAAATAACTTGTAGGTGGATACTGGCCTGTAGGCCACACCTTGAGTAGTGCTGGTATAAAATGGCTACCTGTCATATATACGGTGGTGTGGCAGGGAAGTGAGGGGTGGGAAGCAACTGGCATTTACAACTAGAGCACAGGGGTGCGGAGGAAGCAAAGGTGGTGGTCATGTGGATGGGTCTTGGCCATGGAACACAGTAATGGAAATGGGAAGCTTTTGGAATGCAGTCCCAAAAGATACCTAGTAAGATGGTGATCCTGCAAGTGTGCATTTGTGTGCATTTTTTGAAGTTTTGTTGTAAATACCTGCAACAACCAGCAGGTCCTGATGATTATTTATGAGCTCATTGAGCTACAAATGTGGGTAGAGAACTTATAATTTTTTTTCTTTTTCTTTTCTTCTTATTTTTAGAGAGGATAAGAAATACCACACACACGGATCAGATGCCTCCAAGCTGAAGAAGGTGAGGCATAGAGATCTCTTACCACGAGGGAACATATCTGAGCCAGTCAGCACCAAATATGTTAGCAGTGGCAGGTATCTGAGTTACTGGCAGCGAATCTGTACCCGTCTGCAGCAACCTCAATTCTTGCCTCCGTAGAAGAAAGAATTCAGCCAGGCACGGTGGCTCACGCCTGTAATCCCAACACTTTGGGAGACTGAGGTGGGAGGACCATGTGAGGTCAGGAGTTTGAGACCAGCCTGATCAAAATGGAGATGCCCCATCTCTACTAAAAATACAAAATTAGCCGGGCATGGTAGCGCATGCCTATAATCCCAGCTACTCAGGAGGCCGAGGCAGGAGAATCGCTTGAACCCAGGAGGCAGAGGTTGAGGTGAGCTGAGACTGCGCCATTGCACTCCAGCCTGGGCAACAAGAGGCGTAACTGTATCTAAAAAAAGAAAGAAAGAAAGAAAGAAAGAAAGAAAGAAAGAAAGAAGAAAGAATTCGACTGAGGAGCATAAGGCAGAATAAAGGACCAACGCAAATTTCAGAGCAGCAGTGGAAGTGTATTAAAAAGCTTTAGAATAGTAAGGAAAGAAAAGTAGGGAAGTACACTTGGAAGAGGGCCAAGTGGGTGACCTCAGAAACCAGGTGCCGAGAACTTATAATTTGAAAAGACAAAGTTGGCTCTGGAGATTCCACAGTCTGACCTAGGCCCCTGCCAGTCCAATGACTCTGGTGAGTCAACGTTGTCTTTTAGACTTACGTCTAAGATTGCACGACATGAGATCCGGAAGCACAAAGGTTCAGGGATAGCAAACTCCCCCCGAGGAGGGAGGAAGGGAACAGGACAAGGTGGATGTGTTCATGCTTCAGGGCTTCATCCTGCCCACGTTATGATTTGGGACTCCAGCAAACGGAGAAGGTAAACACACTGGTCTTAGTCTCCCAGTGACTGTACGGTGGAGTAAATAAAGTAACCCCAAGGAGGATTCTGAGGATGAACTGAGAGTTATATGCAAGTGTTGGCATGATGTCTGGCATGAAGTAGGAGCTCCCCCTTTCTGCTCAGGACAGTCCTTGTGGGGTGATCAGTTTTCTTATCTTTAACTGCTTCTTTTCCTCCAGGTTCCATTGGTTTCATAAAGCTGTAATCAAGGTCCTAGTAGGAGGTGCCCGGCCTAGGTCTCATCACATCCTGGATTCTGTCAGCTTCCTTCTCTTTGCATTAGTGCCACTCATCCTTCAGGTGTCAGATGGAAGCCTCCAGTGGGTTTCACAACACTTCCCTCCCATCACCTCTAAGATGCGTTTGCTGCTAAACACTTTCTGTAGTCTATCATTATTGCTATTTGATTATGAGTATAGTAACAGCAAAAACCATGCATGTCTTATTTTCCACTCTATTTCCAGCACCTAGCCAGTGTCTGGCCCAAAGTCAACATTCAGTAAACCGTTGTTGGATGAATAATTGGAAGTAAAGTATGTGATTTTTTCTTTAAAATATTTTGAGTGTAGTTAAGAGACAGTAATAAACAATGCACAGTCAGGTGTCAAATAATCTTTCCTTGGAGCTGAATAGGTTGCCTGGAAAAAAGATAGATCTGATATATATGAATTCAATATACCATAAAAATGGAATAAAAAGTCCTTGGGGGACAGGTGCAGTGGCTCACGCCTGTAATCCCAATGCTTTGGGAGGCCAAGGTGGGAGGATCGCTTGAGTCCACGAGTTTGAGATCAGCCTGGGCAACACAGGGAGATCCCTATCTCTACAAAAAAAAAAAATATTAGCTGGGTGTGGGGGTGTGCTCTTGTGGTCCCAGCTACATGGGAGGATTACTTCAGTTCGAGGAGGCTGAGGCTGCAATGAATGGTGTTTGTGCCACTCCTCTCTACCCTGGGTGACAGAGCAAGATCCTGTCAAAAAAAAAAAAAAAAAAAAGTCATTGGAAAAGAATAACATTTTTTTTTGAAATGGAGTTTCGCTCTTGTTGCCCATGCTGGAGTGCCATGGTGTGACCTCGGCTCGCCGCAACCTCTGCCTCCCGGGTTCAAGCAATTCTCCTGCCTCAGCCTCTGAAATAGCTGGGATTACAGGCACTTGCCACCACGCCTGGCTAATTTTTTGTATTTTTAGTAGAGACTGGGTTTCACCATGTTGGCCAGGCTCATCTTGAATTCCTGACCTCAGGTGATCTGTCCACTTCAGACTCCCAAAGTGCTGGGATTAGAGGTGTGAACCACCGCACCCGGCCAAGAAATTTATTCAATATAAAGTTCTGGGAAAACTGGTTACCATCAGATCAGCCTAGATCCTCTTCTCACATTGTATACCAAGTACTTTCCAGATGAACTAAAGAGCTTTAAAAAAAAAAATTCCCAGAAACACCAAAATATTTATCAAATCTCTGGAAGGAAGTAATGTTTCCATCTTAGAAGCAGTAGAAGTGATCACAAAGGAAAAGATTAACTGACTTGGCTATGGAAGTATTTTAAACTTTAGCACGTCAAAAAATAAAAGTTAAGCAAAATAAAAAAGGCAAACTAGGGAAATATTTGCAGTCAGCTGCATCAAGAACTCCCATAAACTGACTTCAAAAGAATACACTGAGGCAGTGAATAGCAGGCAAAATACATGATCAGATGATTTTCCAAAAGAAGAAAGACATAAAATGGTGCTTAATCTTCATAATTAAAGAACTCCAGGAAGGAGAGGTCAGTGGTGGCCAAAGAGTCAGGGAGAATTTTGCAGGGGAGATAGAGTGTAGGCTTGTTCTTGAAGACAGACTTTAAAGAGACGGAGGCTAGAGATGCTCACATTAGTGGGGCCTCCCCTGCCTACTGACCTCTCCTGTGTTCCCTGACTTTACAGAGCTTCTGAGGCCTAGAACTGGATTCTAAGTGTCTCCTGGGCCACCATAATCTCTCAGTAATGGAAGCAGCTTTACTCATAGAAGCATACCACTGTGGAACTTAGGGAAGTCTGGCAGAGGGGAGTTCTGGAAGGAGGATTCTGCAGCAGTGGGGAGCAGGGCAAGGGCCTTGAGCTTCCCATCCCTATCCCCACCTCTTTCCCCAGCAGTCTGAGAGTTTTCTGACTTCAAAACTAACTGCTTGCCCAGCCTTGTCCCCAACCTCTAATTGGAGTTGGGCTGTTCCTTTTTAACAGCTTTCCCAGGAATGTGAACAAAACTTTGATTCCTCTGAACAGTTTGAACTGGCATTTTCATTTTAGGGTCTTTTCTTTATACTGTATTACTGTGAATCTATAGCTTTAAAAAATTAAACAAGCAATACATAGTTAATGAAGAAAGTACTGATATAGATGGCATTTTATGAAAGTTTTTCTGAAGAACAGAGGAAGAGAAAACATAAGATATAAATAGCTCACCTACGTCAAATTTCCAAAGCACAGGATTCGGATCACACAATAAGGAGACCCTGGCACTGGGCTTTCTGGTGCCTCTCCACTAGGTTCCAGGCCTGGCTAGATCAGGACATCTCACTGGGAGGCCACATTGGAGAGATGTCTTGACGTCGTTATTGCCTCAGGGCCAAAAGCCCCGATTCACTCTTGCAACTTTCTCCTGCCAGGCCTCCCACTCAGCTCCCTTTCTGGTCTAAAGATTGTGACTCATCCTCAGCCGTGCATGGCGGCCATTCTCAATCTTTTCTCCACCACCCACACACAATGGATGACATCCATATTCATACACACTCTCAAAGGTTAAACCCAATTTTATCGAAACCCTGGAAGAATTTTGGCAGGAAATCAAAGCCAATGGCAAAAATAACTATTACATTTCAATGCAATACAATGACTTGAAAATGACATGACAATTGGTGTGTTAGCAATCTTCCCACCGCTGCTGGGTGCATGTGTAGCACAGGTTTTGGAGAAGCAATTCCTGAGAGCTGGTTGTGGTGCCACTCCCTCTTCTCCCCAGTGAGGGGGACATTATTATAGGGGTAACTTAGTAGTGTGTCACTGTTAAGCCTCATGCATCTATTTTTAATTGCAGTTATTGGGGCTTATTGTGTATCTGTTTACACGTCTGTTTTTTTTTTTTTTTTTGAGATGGGGTCTTGCTCTGTTGCCCAGGCTGGAGTGCAGTGGCGCAATCTCGGCTCACTGCAAGCTCCGTCTCCCGGGTTCACGCCATTCTCCTCCCAAGTAGCTGGGACTATAGGCACCTGCCACCACACCCGGCTAATTTTTTTTTTTTTGTAATTTTTAGTAGAGACGGGGTTTCACCGTGTTAACCAGGATGGTTTCAATCTCCTGACCTCATGATCCGCCTGCCTCAGCCTCCCAAAGTGCTGGGATTACAGGCGTGAGCCACTGTGCCCTGCCTATGTCTGTTTTCACAAATAAACTTTTCTGTTAATTACTGTCTCTTTAGTGTCCAGCACAGTGCCTGACATTAATCAAGAGGTTAAACAAATGACATTAATCAATGATTAAACAAATGAGGGAACAAGCCCACTTTGCCGTGAAGCTTGTATGCCCCTTGCTCTGACTCTAAGAAATTCTGCCTTTCCTGTCTTCTAATCTCTGGCCAGCCCACCAGCAGCACTCTGCAACATTTTCTAAACACAGTTTGCCTTCTTGTTTGAACTGTTTGTGCTAGTCCAATATGTCAACCCTGACACCTTGGCCCTGTTTTCTGGACATCTTTACTCAACACTTTTGTCTTTTCCAGTCCTTAAGAGTCTTTGAGATAGTCTCAAGAACTGGAGACTGAGAGGTTTCTCTTAACTCTCCCTTCCCTAGCAGGAGCTCTGGGTTGGCTCTCCACGTCGATTTTGAATATTTGACAGTAGATTTATGCCTTATCCACTTATTTTATAGCACCCAGAGCATGTAGTGCAGGCCTAGACAAATAGTAAGTCCATCTCCTTTGTAGTATATATCACATTTTCTTTCTTGTTTTCTCTCTCTCTCTCTCTCTCTCTCTCTTTTTTGACACAGTCTTGTTCCATAGCCCAGGCTACAGTGGAGTGTAGTGGCACAATCTTGGCTCACCGCAACCTCCGCCTCCGGGATTCAAGCAACTCTCCTGTCTTAAGTCTCCTGAGTAACTGGGACTATAGGCACATGCCACCATGCCTAGCTAATTTTTTTTTTTTTTTTGTATTTTTAGTAGAGATGGGGTTTCACCTTGTTGGTCAGGCTGGTCTCAAACTCCTGACTTCAGGTGATCCATCCGCCTCGGCCTCCCAAAGTGCTGGGATTATAGGCATGAGCCACCGCATCTGGCTATGTATCATATTTTCTATTAAATAAATAATCATACAGTTTGTCTAACAGCTGTGTCTCCTAATTGGAGGTGAGTTTCACAAGGACATGAATTCTATTTTTTTTAGACAGAGTCTCACTCTGTCGCCCAAGCTTGAGTGCAGTGGCATGATCTCGGCTCACTGCAACCTCTGCTTCCTGGGTTCAAGCAATTCTCTGCCTCATCCTCCCAAGTAGCTGGGGTTACAGGCGTTCACCACCACGCCTGGCCAACTTTTTGCATTTTTAGTAGAGACGGGGTTTCACCATGTTGGCCAGGCTGGTCTTGAACTGCTGATCCCGTGAGCTACCCACCCTGGCCTCACAAAGTGATGAATTCTATTTTATACACTGTTGTTTCCCCAACACTTTGCATAAGGCTCAATACACAGCGGAGGTCAATAAAGTTGTGTGGTAAGAGTGAATGAATGAATGAATGAATGAATGAACGCATCGACTGAATGGCTGACTTGTTATACTTTTGATAAATGGGAGGGTTTTGTTTTTTTTTCTGAAAAAAGGCCTTAATGCTGAAGGTTCTGTTTGTAGAGGGAAAAACAGGCCTTAGGGGCAGTTGGTAAACAAGAATAGTGGTTAATGTTTAAAGGAACTCCATGGGCAGCTCCATCAAGTGCAGGGAGCCCAGCATGAGTCAAAACAAAGAGGAAAAAATGGCTCTGGGAATGGGGGGAACAGGAATAGGGATGGTGAATCACAGTTTCCTATATCTGGCCCACCAAGTTTTCCTGTAATTTGTATTTACCTTAGACCCTGTACTAAGTTCCCAGAGGATGTGGAGTAAAAGTGTGGAAGCTGGTTTGTTTATGTTACACTGTTCATGTGGATTACTGCGTGGCAGAAACATTTTGGAGGGTTATTGCTAATCACCCCAATGAATGTGGGCTGGGGCTGGGGTGGTCAAAGCCGGCCTTTTGGGGGACAACCCTGGGATTGCATCAATTAGCCCAGTAGGGCCCACACCTCCTCATGAGACCCGGGCGCAGCTGTGGCCCCTCTCTGGACAAAGGGCATAGGGATGGAGCAGAAGGCAGAGCCTTGGAGATGAGAGGCTCCAACAGCTTCTCAGGGGAGCAGAGGGAAGCAGAAGACAGTTGCGTGGCCTGAGGGAACCTGCCCAGTTCTTGTTATGCTCACTAGACCTTAATTAAAGACCTTTGGTCATGCAGCTCTTAGCTCTTAGGTCAGGGTCCCTGAGGAATGAGGCTGATCAAGACTGTTAAAGGTCTAAGCACATTAAAGATTATGCTTGGTTTCTACATGTTATTCAAAACAAAATGGTATAAGCCATAAAATAAGTACAAAGACAGTTAATAAAATGTATCCTACGATGGTCATATTGATGGTCTTTTGCAAATACTGAATTCTTTTTTTTTTTTTTTGAGACGAAGTCTCGCTCTGTCGCCCAGGCTGGAGTGCAGTGGCATGATCCTGGCTCACTGTAACCTCTGCCTCCCGGGTTCACGCCTTTCTCCTGCCTCAGCCTCCCGAGTAGCTGGGACCACAAGCGCGTGCCACCATGCCTGGCTAATATTTTGTATTTTTAGTAGAGATGGGGTTTCACCATGTTAGCCAGGATGGTCATGATCCCCTGACCTTGTGATCTGCCCGCCTCAGCCTCCCAAAGTGCTGGGATCACAAGGGTGAGCCACCGTGCCCAGCTGCAAATCCTGAATTCTTAAAAAACTTTTTTTTCCTGTTTTGTGGTTTCTGCTTTCGTAATGTCATAGCTCTTTCTTATCAGCTTATTGAAGAATCCGTCCCTGATGAGGGGTCTGAGGGAGGATTCCTGTCAATGAAACTTGAATGAAAACTAGAGAAACATGTCCTTAGCTCACGGAGAAGCAGAGTGAGGACCCCGATCATTGATGGGCTCAGTGAGGACCCTGGTTACGAGGGGACTGAGCGAGGGTCCCTGGGAGGCCTGTGAAGGAGACCCCTGGTCACTGAGGGGGCTGAGCTGGGGCACCTTTGTTGAGGTGTCTCAGAGAAGGTCCCTAGTTACTGACTGGGGTGAGGGTGAGCTTTGGTCCCCGAGGAGCCTAAACAAGATGCTCTGGTCATTGGGGACCTGTGGAAAAGTACCTGATCACTGAGGGGTCTGAGTCAAGGGCCCTACTTGCTAAGGGCCTGGGTGGAGGCATCTGGTCACTAAAGCCTGAAGGAGAGGGTCCTGATCAGTGGTTCCTGAGTGACAGACTCTATTACTGAGAAGGCCAAGGAGGACGTTTGTGTCACTGAGTTAGGGTGACCAACTCCTGACAAAACTGAGGGTGGGGGCCCTGGCTCTCAGAGGGTTAAAGAAAGGGCTCTGGACACTGAGACGACTGAGGGTGTTCAGTCAACGGGAAGTATAAATGAGGTGCTTTCCCCAGCAAGTATGGGCTCACATAGGTGGGACAAACTGCCCAATGTGGGATCTGGTAGCTGAGATTTCATGGCCGGGTTAAACCACAGTGGTCCTTAATTCTTCCTTCCTCTTCCTCCTTCGGTCTGACCTGCAGGTCTTCTAGATACCAGTAGATGGCACTGCAACCTCACATGTGGAGGGGGCAGCTGGCTTAGGTCCCAAGAAGGGGCCCAGGTGCAAGCAGGTGAGACGTCAGAGAGAGAGGAAATTAGTTGCCCCTCTGACCAGATTCCCTGGAGAACCAGGCTTGGTGGCTTAGATCCCCTAAGCACAGCCACCTAGAGGCCAAGTCCTGATATCACAGACCAACTAGTTCCAAATACACTCTTACTTTTTATGTTGGATTCATTCATATGTTTTTTGTTTTTTTTTTCAGCAAGTGTACATCCAATATATGATAGAATTTGAGTTAGGTGCTGAGGATACAAGGGTGATTAAGCAAGGTCACTATTTTTAGAAGCTCATGGTGTCGGAGGTGAAAATTAATATACATAAAATAATTACAATAAATGTGATAAGGACTGAAGAACAAGGATATGCACAATGCTTTGGAGGCCCAGGGAAGGTCTGAATATGCAATTTGAGGAGGTTGTGAATGTGTGAGGAGGAAGAGGTAACATTGAAACAGGGTCTCAAAGCATGAACAGGGATTTTGTTTGTGAGGCACACATGAGGGGAAGTATCTGGGGCAGGAGCAAAGGTGTGAGTAAGGATGTGAGGTGTGTGAGAGAGCCTGGGGTGTCAAGGGATCTCCATGCGATCCAAAGCATCTGGGAAATAGAGAACACTATAGAGGTGGGCTGGGAGGATGGTGAGGAAGAGGAATGACATATAGATATGGGGGAAGATCATTAAGAATCTTATACCCATATTTAGGGCTTTGGTCGTAGTCCTTAAACAGATGAAGAATCAGGAGAATTTTCAACAGGCAGCTGAAATATTCTGGTTTCTGTTTAATTACTTTGGTAGCCAAGTTGTAATTAGAGGAGGGATAGACTGCAGGCAGAAACCCAACTAGGCAACCAAGTTAGAATTTATGAGAGTTAAATAAAGAAGGATGTTACGGAAAAGAAAACAGATCTGAGGGGTGTTTAGGAGGAAGGATGAGCAGAATTTTGTGTCAAAGTAGATGTGAAAAGTAAGGGAGAACGAGGAATGTAGAAAAATAATAAATATTAACGTTTACTAAACATTTAACATTTGTAATACTTTATCTCAATAATCGTAACAGCACTCTCTAAGGTAGGAATTATTACCCCTGTTTTCAGATGAGGCAACTGGAGCTCAGAGAGGCTACGTGATTTGTCTAAGGCCACACAGCTAGTTCTGTCCCCTGCCTGGTTTTCCTATGTTAAGCCTTTTCTGTCTCCAGCTTCCCCTCCAGAGTGAGATTTAGGAAATCCTTCCTTAAAATCCTCCAGTGGCCCCCTATTGTGTACTTCACAGTTGCATCAACCTTTCTCCACCTCATTCTAAAAATCAGGCAGGCAGGACTGCTGGCAACTCCCCAAAGGGCTAACTTTTCCTGCCTGTGTGCACTTTTATATGTGGTACACTGCTGACAACTCCCCGAGGGGCTAACCTTTCTCGTCTGTGTGCACTTGTATACGTGCTGCACCGCTGACAGCTCCCCAAAGGGCTAATCTTTCTTGCCTGTGTGCACTTGTATGTGTACTGCCCTGCTGATGCACATTCCAACTGACACCTTCACACATGCTGGCTCCTTCTGCCTCATCTGCACCTCCCTCCTACCCACTGACCTTATTAACTTATACTTGTCTTTCGAATGTCGTTTCCTTAGGGTAGATTTTATGACTCACCCTCAAGTCCTTGAGGTTAGGTCTATGTATAACGTACTGTCACAGCATTTAGTACTTTTCTTTCATAGCATAGATCACAATTATAATTAAGTCACTATTTTCATAATTACTAGCTTAACGTCAATTTCTTCCACTGGATTATATACGTTTTTTGAGGTGACGGAGGGGCTACTTGAGGGGTATTCATAGCAGTTTTGTTGTAGCAACAAAAATACCATGAATTAGTTCATAAAATGTGATTAAATATTCCTTATAATGGAATATTATGCAGCCACTAAAATGAATGAGAGCTCATGCCACCCTCTCTCAATTTCCAGCCAGGCCCTGTTGACAGAAGAGAAGACTCAAGCCTGATGTGCAGACAGCTCTGCATGGGACACAGCCACCAGATAGAAATGGCCAGAGGGAAGGGGAGCCCAACTTCCATACTGCCTGGAATAACACATATCCTGGGGACAGGTTTACACTGATTTCTGGGTGGTGTCTGGTGATTTTGTCAGACTGCGAAGAGCTAATGCAAGGCATATATTGGAGTTAATCACTTTTGTGAGCAACTGAGCTCTATCTGTTGGATCTTCTGAGAATAAGTGTAAGATGTTCCATTTATTTATTTATTTATTTATTTATTTAGACAAAGTCCTCCTGCTCTGTCGCCTAGGCTGGAGTGCAGTGACCATAGCTCACTGTAATTTTGAATTACCAGACTTAAGTGATCCTCCTACCTCTGCCTCCCAAAGTCCTGGGATTATAGGCACAGCCACCATGCCTGGCCTGCATTTGTGTATCTCCTGGCCTTACCCCTCCTTAGTCAAGGGTTACCTCTGGGGTGTTAGCTGCCTCACATTTTGAGGTTGTGTATGCAGTAGTGTGCCCTAGGCAAAAGGTGAAGCTGAGTCCAACTGCTGACAGATTCCCTCTACAGGAAGTTAGTTGCCATCCTGCTTCCTGATCAACTAGCTGGAGAAAAAGATAAGCCAAAATGTGGGTTGGGACCAAAGGACGCATCTGATACATCAATCAAGTCTTCTTCCCTAACCTTCCCAGTTTTTGCCCAATGGATTAATGAATAAACTGGCAGTGAGATTAGGGATGTTAACTAGGTTTTGGCTCATAATAGAATTCTCTTGGCTGTGTCTTATTTGGCTACTGACACAGCCAAATACGCAAATTGCCAATTAACAGTGACAAACTCTTAATCCATATTATGAGACCATAATTTAATGGGATCAGCCAGCTAATGGTACCAGCTAGATTGTTTTTAGACATGTTTCATTACATAGGTGACAGACATTTGTCCTCATTGGAATAGACACTTTTTCTGAATTTGGGTGTTTCTTCTCCCTTTGTCACACTCCTGCCAGCACTGACATCTGTGAACTTACTGAAAGTCTTATGTATTGTCATGGAATCATGTATACTTTTATATCCTGTTATCAGTTATTTAATGCTGCATAATAAACCATCCCAAAACATAGTGGCTTAAAACAGTAACCATATATTATTGCTCATGAATCTGTGGGTCACCAGGTTGATCAGCTGCAGGTTGACTGGTCTAGGATGACCTCATTCACATGTCTGGTGGTTGGCTGGCTGATGGCTGGGTGACATGGGAGACTGGGACATGTGTCTTATCAAGTATCAAGCTACCCTGACCTTATTTACATGGCAGGGTCAGGGCTCCAAAAGAGAGACCAGAAGTTTGAAGCTTACATTTAGAACTAGCATGATGACACTTCTGCTGCATTCTATTGGCCAAAGCAAACCATAAGACCAGTCTAGATTCAGTGTGTGAGGAAATAGACTTTCTTGATGGAAGGATTGAAAAGTCACATTTCAAAGAGTATGGATACAGGGGAGGCAGGGGAAGCATAGGATCTTTTATTTTATTTTATTTTATTTTTTGAGACTGAGTCTCACTCTGTTGCCCAGGATGGAGTGCAGTGGTGCAAGCTCTGCTCACTGCAAGCTCCGCCTCCCGGGTTCACGCCATTCTCCTGCCTCAGCCTCCTGAGCAGCTGGGACTACAGGTGCCCACCACCACGCCCAGCTAATTTTTTTTTTTATTTTTAGTAGAGACGGGGTTTCACCATGTTAGCCAGGATGGTCTCGATCTCCTGATCTTGTGATCCACCCACCTCAGCCTCCCAAAGTGCTGGGATTACAGGTGTGAGCCGCTGCACTCAGCCAGGGCCCATTGTTGTAATTAATGTATCACAGCTCTGTCAAGAAATTTTTCATAGAAAAAGAAGACAAAGAACCAATGTCCATGCCATTCATTGATTTCATTATGGGACCTACAGTGGGTTGAATTGTGTTCTGCAAAAAGATATGTTGAAGTCCTAACCCTGGTACCTTTGAAGAGGACCTTACTTAAAAATAGGGTCTTTGCAGGTGTAATCAAATTAAGATAAGGTCAGACTGGATTACAGACACCTAAACTCAATGATTGGTGTCTCTATAAAGAGAGAAAGATTTGAAAACTCTCAGATACAGAGGAAAGAAGGACCTGTGAAGATGAGGACAGAGATTGAAGTGGTGCAGTTACATGCCAAGGAATGACAAGGATTGCTGGGAGCTATCAGAGGTAAAGAATGATTCTCTCCCAAGCCTTTGGAGAGAGTGCCTTGCTGAGACCTTGGGCTTCTAGCTTCTAGAACCATGATATAACAAATGAATATGTTTCTGTTGTTTTAAGTCACTAATTTTGTGGCACTTTCTTATGGCAGCCCTAGGAAGCTAATATAGACCCCATCAGACAGAAGTTGCTGGCATTACAGAGAAATGACTGTTCAGCTTTGACTCCAGCTGGGGGACAATTTCTTGTGAGTTAGGCATCTTGTCTTGCTGTTGATGATTTATGCTCTCTGCCAGATTCATATATTCATGTCTCCAAGTCAGAATAAAAAGGCCCAGGGATTAAGAGTTGGAGATGGGAGCATCACCACTCATAATTATACTTCAATAATCATTCTCAAAATGTTGTCTTTCTCTAACCAAGGTTCTTTTACTACCAAAGTATTTAGCACCTTAGGGTTCAAAGTGAAACAAAAACAGAAACAAAACAAAACAAAACAAAACAACAAAACCAAAGCAAGGTGAGAGATAGTTTCACTAGGGGTCTGTAATAATGATCCCATTATATTGGAAATTGGAATCTGGTCATTTCACATTTCTCATGCCACATGCAGAAATGGAAAAAAGATGTCCTGCTGTTATCTAGGATAATTAATCTTTTTAAAAAATTAATTTTTAAGTTGACTAATATAAATTGTATAGATTTTTTAGTGTACAACATGTTTTGATACATGAATATACTGTAGAATGGTTAAATTGAGCTAATTAATATATCAATTAACTCAAGTACTTACATTTTTTCTGTGGTGAGAAAGCATAATCTACTCTCTTAGCAATTTTCAAATGTATAATATGTTGTCACTAACTATGGCCATCATATTGTACAATAAATCTTCTGAGCTGATTCTTCCTGTTTAACTGGAGGAAACTTTTGTGCCTTTTGATCAGTGTCTCCCCAATATCTCTACTCGCCCATCGCCCCAACTCCCAGCCCCAGCCACTGGTAACTTCTATTCTACTCTCTGCTTCCATAAGTTTGACTTTTTAAAGGTTCTACATATTTCTGAAATCATGCAGTATTTGTCTTTCTGGCTGGTTTTACTTCACATGATGTTTTCCAGGTTTCTCCATATTGTCACAAATGAAAGGATTTCCTTCTTTATAAGGGCTGAATATATCCCACATTTTCTTTATCCATTAGGATGGTTAATTTTGACTACAACTGGAGAAAAGTGCTTTTCTTCTCTCAATTGTTCATTTCATGTGGAGGGAGCTCTTTAGAGTAACAATGCTAGCCTCCCTCTCCAGAAGAGAAGTCAATGACTTAGCTAACTGATACATTTGGGAAGAACAAGCTTCAGCTTTCCCAACTGTCTCTTTGGGATCCAGGTTGACCTCGAAAGCATGCACTTCGAAGGACATTCTAAAGGGGCTTGCCCCATTGGTAGACCTCAGTTTTCCAGTATGATCTACAGCCGTGTAGGCAAACCTCTCTTTATTTCTGGGATTCACTATTAGATAGTTATCTTATCCAGTGACATAAACCCTCTTTCTAGTATTAACTTTGTCAGTCATAGAAATGATTATTGGCTTCTACCTTTTAACTGGTGTTGAACTCAGGAGAGGGAAAGATGTGCCGTTTATTGAGGATCCACACAACTTCAACATCTCATTCACTGGACCAGGAGCCTTAAAAAATAAACAGGGAGTGAAATTTGGAGACCCAGCTAATACGTTAAGAGGCTTTTGGTGAAGTCAGTTTTGGGTTTGGACTTGAGCAAGCATACATTTGTGATTGCAGTGGTTTTGTGGAAGCTTTTAGTAAGCCAGAAGGCTCTTTTAATGGATGTAATTGGTTTTTATCAGTTGTAGCTGGGCAGGAAGTTTCAGGTTTTCATTGCTGGCCAGGGGGGAACTTTTTTTTTTTTTTTGTGATGGAGTCTGGCTCTGTCGCCCAGGCTGGAGGGCAGTGGCACGATCTTGGCTCACTGCAACCTCCACCTCCTGGGTTCAAGCAATTCTCCTGCCTCAGCCTCCCAAGTAGCTGGGACTACAGGTGTGTGCCATCACGCCTGACTAATTTTTGTATTTTTAATAGAGACAGGGTTTCACCATATTGGTCAGGTTGGTCTCGAACTCCTGACCTCAAGTGATCCACCCTCCTCGGCCTCCCAAAGTGCTGGGATTACAGGTATGAGTCACCATGCCTGACCTCAGGTGGGACTTTCACCTTGGTGGGACCTCACAAGTCTTGGAACTTTATCCACAGGTGAGGATCTGTTTTTAATATGAGCCAGGCTCTGGGCTGAACTTAGGGGAGCAGTAGATGGGTCTTGTCTGCCTTCAGCCAAAATGTCTCTGTCAAGGTGCATGTGGGTGTCCTTAATATTCAAAAGGGTAGGCCTTAGCCAGATGCCACTGTGGGCAGGGTTTGAGGATGGCTCTGTAAAGGCACAACTATAGCAAAAGTGAGAGCTTTGGGTGTAATGTGCTGTAGATTATTCTTGAACTACAAAGGTATCAGAGCTAGGATATGTGCATGAGCCACGTGAGGGCTATGAAGATGCTGGTGAGCTGCAGTGCCTTAGTAAGCAGGGACAGCTGAAGTAATGCTTCAATCAAGGAGAAGAGAGAGAAGAGAAACAAAGAGAAAGGAGAGTCCTGTATCTGTAAAAGACACCCTGAATCTTTTAGATGTGGGCAGGATGCAGAACAATTATTTATCAGTTGTGGTATTCACCATTGTAAGTAGGCTGCTCCAAATCTGACCCACTAAGATGTTTTGAAATGACTTTATCCAAGAAAGGGAACTATGGAGAGACTATCCTGGAATTCTTATGGCTTATCTCAGGCTCAAGTGCTACTCTCATTATATCTTGAGAAGACTAAGATACATGAATAAAAAAGGAAAAGGAGATGCAACTAGATGTAATTGCTCTTAAAGAGAGTATCAGAAAATATAAGCTGATGGAATTATTATTAGCTCAGAAACAGTCATTAGGTCCTAAGTAAATCTAACAAGATAAAAAAAGTGTAGATTTCAGTGCTGGCTGAAATTACTCCTTCAAAAAGGATCTAGGTATAGAAAACTATTAAGGTGCAGCATCTCAAAATTGGGGTGGAGAGAGAGACAGAGAAAGGGAGGGAGGGAGGGAGAGCATGAGGGAAATCATAGCATGAGCAAATAGGGACTTCTTCCTTAAAGATGGGGACAGATACACAAGCTAGTTACAGAAACACTTAATGGGGTTGAGGGGAAGACCAGAAAGATTATTGTAAAGTACTAAATGCATCACTAGGAGTTTCCAGATAACAGCTTATTGTATGTCATATCTCTGCTATGTGGAGGTTTAAGTACTCTCTGTGTCCTGAGAAAATATGTCTGAAATATTTATAAATCAGGGACCTAAGCACAGCAGAGATAAGAAGTATTAATGTGGGACTAGGAAGAAAAATGATGCATTGGGTCTAGGTTTAGGTTGGATGCTGGTCTGTTGAGAGAACACCTTCTGTGTGGGATTATCCAACTCTGGATGGGCACTTTCGAAGAGTGAGGGCTTTGGCATAACCAGAACCCATTGATTTTATGTCTTAATTACTAGCCATGAAATAAAATCTAGAGAAATAGGGTAGTAAAACAAGTGTCCAGTAGCAGAAAGAGCTGCTACTCAAGTCTTAGACTATTCAACAGTCAAGAAAAGACAGTATCTTAAGGAAGCCCATGGCTGAATTATTGACTGGTATTTATTAGGCCTGAGGTGGATGACCAACCATCCTGGTTTTTCTGGTTTTAGCATTGAAAATCCCGCATTTAAGGTAAACCAGGATAGTTGGTCACCCTATTAATAGGGGTCCGAGTTTCCAAAGTGTCAACAGCATTTTCAGTTCAGGAATCTGGTGATGGTCATTCTCTAGTGGGAACAAATGCAGAGATAGAGAGAAATTTCTCTAGGAAGCAGGTTTCTTGGGTTGAAGACATTATTTAACAGGATGCAGTGGTAGCAGCTACATAGGTAACAGGACTGAAAAATGCTGCCTACTGCCATCCCAACGCATCAGAGCGCTATAGTCTTGGAAGCTACAACACAACAGGCATACCACCGGGGTACACTGGGATGCCAGAACTTGGGGCTCAATCAGTGTGTTGAACTGTATAGGAAAATTTGAGCAGGCTGGATGGGAATTAAAAATCCCTTCAACAAGGCCTAATGACTGAAGTGGCATCATTGCAAATTTCTACACTTTGCAGAAAGAAAAGAATGTTTCTGATATCCTCTCAGAGCATTGGGGGAAGATATAAGTGCACGATTGGATTTACTCCCAAAAGTTATTAAATGCAGAGTACTTAAATAGAAGAGACAATGGTATAAAGATTCACGTACCCATTACCCACTTTAACAATAATCAACTCAGGGTCAATATTGATTCCTCTACATAAACCAAGGGGGAAGCTGTAATTTTTGTATACCATCTGTGAGTGGTTGGGTTAGTCTCCCTAATTCTGGTATTCAGCATCAAGCGACCCATTTGCTAAATGATATAGCCACATTCGTCAATATGAATTTTATCAGTAACATTGTGGTTTTGATCTCTTATTACCTTATTCTTTTTTTTTTTTTTTGAGACAAGTCTTGCTCTGTTGCCCAGGCTGGAGTGCAATGGCGTGATCCTGGCTCATTGCAACCTCCACTGTGCCTGGCCTCTTATTACCTTATTCTTTTACTTTATTTCTCAGTTGGTTGAGAACTAGAACAAGAAATTGGGGTATTATTTATCAGTGCCCTTAAATCCTCCCACAACCACTGAGAATAAATAGGCTTGCTACTTTCATTAGACAAACTTCTGCACCTACCTGGACCACAGATCCTGTAAGAGTGGACTATACCTACCACTTTCATCTCAGTCCATTACCCCTGGGCAATAGCTTATTAGATCTGACCCAAGGCTACCAGTTAGATGTTCCCTGTCTTTATTGATCAAGGAATTAAACTATGAGGCCAGGTATGGTGGCTCACACCTGTAATCCCAGCACTTTGGGAGGCTGAGGCAGGTGGATCACCTGAGGTCAGGAGTTCGAGTCCGGCCTGGCCAACATGGTGAAAATTTCTTTCTTTTTAAAAATAATTCGCTTTTTTCTCACTTTATTTCTTCTTTTGTCTTTAGAGGCAGGGTCTCACTCTGCCACTTAAGCTGGAGTGTAGTGGCGTGATCATGCCTCACTGCAGCCTCGACCTCCCAGTCTCAGGGCATCCTCCCCCTCAGTCTCTCAAGTAGCTGGAACTACAGGTTCATGCCAGTACACCCAGCTAACTTTTAAAATTTTCTGTAGAGATGAGGTCTGGCTACGTTGCCTAGGCTGGTCTTGAACTCCTGGGTTCAAGCGATCCTCCTGCCTTGGCCTCCCAAACTATTGGGATTACAGGCATGAGCCACCATGCCCAGCCAGGGATTTATTTATGTGCAGCTCTTACACAGCAAGGCAGGGGAAGGTTAGAATAATACTTGTAAGTTTTATGGCTTGCTTTGTGGGAGAGTGGTTCTGGTTTCTATAACCCACCTTGGAGAAGAAGGATCATATTTTGTTTTGTTTTGTTTCGTTTTTTTGAGACGGAGTCTTTCTCTGTTTCCCAGGCTGGAGTGCAGTGGCACTATCTTGGCTCATTACAACCTCCGCCTCCCGGGTTTCAAGCGATTCTCCTGCCTCAGCCTCCCAAGTAGCTGGGATTACAGATGCCTGCCACACCTGGCTGAATTTTGTACTTTTAGTAGAGATGGGGTTTCACCATGTTGCGAAAGGATAATGGCCTCCAGTTCCATCCATGTCCCTGCAAAGGACATCATCTTGTTCTTTTTTATGGCTGCATAGTATTCCATGGTGTATATACCTTTTAATGTAGATTACCTTGATTACAGGAACAATATTGTTACAGATTTTATCATTTTTGAGAAAGTATAATGAAAATTGTGTCTAACAAAGTAATAAGATTCCTTTCTGTCTATACGGTGAAAATGCTCAGGATGTTCGCTACAGCCTGCCTCACCCTGGAAAAGGGATGTGAGGATAATGAGAAAGATGAGTATGTTCAGTGTGGAGCATGCAAATTTGCATGAAAAGTAAATGTAACCTTGTGCCTAACTATGACTGGTTCCCAGAGATATTTTAGTTCTCAGTTTTAATAACGTGTCTAGCACAGAAAAGCCTAGAACATAAAAGGGTCCAATACAAATTTACTGATTTAAGAAAAAATAATGTTTGTTTTGCTAAGAAAGGTAAAGCACCAATAAGAAATGTTTTTTTTTTTTTTTTTTTTTTTTTTTTTTTTTTGAGACGGAGTCTCGTCTGTCGCCAGCTGGAGTGCAGTGCGCATCTCGGCTCACTGCAACTCCGCTCCCGGTTCACCCATTCCCTGCTCAGCCTCCGAGTAGCTGGACTACAGGCGCCCACACCGCCCGGCTAATTTTTGTATTTTAGTAGAGACGGGGTTTCACCGTGGTCTCGATCTCCTGACCTTGATCCGCCCGCCTCGCCTCCCAAAGTGCTGGGATTACAGGCGTGAGCCACCGCGCCCGGCCACCAATAAGAAATGAATCATACTTGCAGTGAGATAGATAGATAGATAGATAGAAAAAATAAGTTAAATTTAAAGTCAAATAAAAATCCAATGTCAATTGGATAAGAAATTGATGTT